AACCACCACCACCACCCCCAAAAAAAACCCAAACAAACAAACAAACACATTAGAAAAGAAAAAAAAAAGATCGGCCAATGATTTTTTACAATCAGTCTCAAGTAGGTTTATTGGTGTATTTGAATCGCATCAACAATCAACAATCAACAATCAACAATCAATCCAACCGGATCAAAACTACGGTCAGAAACATTAAAATACATAACCCAGGAACAAAGAGGGAAATAACTAGAACATAACTGTTTCTAGACTACCATTAACACAATGTGAGCCAAAAAGGAGGCGCCCCCCTCCCCCCCCCCAACACACATACACACATACACACGCTCTAATGTTTTCACAGGGTTCATTTTATTCATACTGAGCGGGAGATTTTTTTTCCTAGACTTTTTCGAGAGTATTCAAGACCAGGTTTCTTTTTGGCAAGACAAATAACTTGTTATTTTGAAAGAAAATTTTTCGTTCAGCATGCAAAACTACGTTATGGTAAATTTCAGAATGCGTAAAGTCTAGGCCCTCTAAACTTCAAGGAAATAATACTATTTGTACAATAGATCTAGTTTAAAATTTGTTTTCCCAAGACTTTTCTAAGATAATTGCCAGTTTCTCAAAATTTCAAGAGTCTTTCTTGTCTGGAAAAACAAAAATAAGGTTCCAAGAGTTCTTCAGTTTTTCCAAGACCTGTACGAACCCTGCTTTCACCTCGGCCATATTAAACATGTACACAATCTCTCATATATATATTATACACATTATTAAGCATACACACCAATATATGGTCGCTTTCAGGGACAAGCGGACTAACCAAGATTTCAAGAGTTTTAAGAAATCTTGACCTACACCAAAAGTGGACATTGCCTACCTATAGGAGAAGTTTGGTTTCATTGCTGTGTATATTTGTTTGGTTTTAGAAAAAAAGTCTCGTGTGTATTTCTGTTTGCTAACAAAATAAAGAAAACTGCCCTTGTCCTTAACAGAAACTGAACAGAGGTCCAAAAACTGTAACTTCGAATTTCTCAAAACAGCATTTTTAGGAATAACCCCTTTGTGCTTAAAAGCGACCACATACGCCAGGTTTACACTGTCTCTTGTACTGGTATGTATACAGTAGACACATAAGCAAGCACACACACACACACACACACACACACACACACACACACACACACACACACCAACATAATATACGCCAAGTTTACAAGCTCTCTTGCACTAGTGTGTATACAGTAGAAACATAACTAAGTACACACACACACATATGATATACGCCAAGCCTAAGGCTCGTACTCTAAGGGCCTGAGATCAGAGAGAAGATCCAATGCCAAGTCCTTGAGTTCACGACAGCTGCTCTTCGTCAGGTTTTCAAGACACGACACCGGCAACTGGAAGGAAAAGAAAATTCATGTATAAAAGAACCTAGTACCAGTACAGTCGACTCCACTCTTGTTGAAGTCACTTGAGCTGATCTTTCGTTAAGTAGATAGCTGTTTTTTTAGCCCCAGCACTTTGTCTCAAAACATTTGTGAGGCAGCGTAGTGGAATCGGGCTCTCGTCAAAATAATAAAAGTGAAGAAACTTGCATTTTTCTGTAGGCTTGTGAATTTTTATCAAATTTGTGTTTTTAGGCTCAACACCTTTATGACTATTAAAGAACTCTTTTCTGTGTGGACTTTTCTGAAAAACGTTAATTAAAGGCACGAAAAATGTAAATTTTCAGTTACCACGGACTCTTAAGCTAAAGAAATGACTAATCTTTGGCGGCCATATTTTCACTAATTTTACGTCTGAAAACAGGTGACCCCCCACCTCCTTCTTTCGTAAATATCTCGACTTGTATTCAAGATAAGTAGATATTTTTTTCATCCAAATAAAGGCAAGTAAACAGGCTTTAAGATGACATCAATAACTCTACATGCCCATAAATTGACGAGAGCCTGATTCCACCACGCTGCCTCACATTTATTCGAGTCAAAAGGTTATATTCACTTCAACTCACACGTAATATGCTTGAATTGAAGTTCTGCAGTTTTTACACACACACACACCCTCCCCGCCTATACACAGCCACCATTACCGTTAACGAGAACACCTATAACAACATCAGGCAGTCACCAATACCATTATGTCTATCGCCATCATTGCCACCACTACAGCAACAACAACAACAACTTCAGCAAAAACATCCGCACTTGCAACATCGAAGAACATCTTCCACCATCTCCCAAATCTACAAAGAAAACAATAAGAAAACAGCAGAAACAACAACCACAACAACAACAACAGCAACAACAACAACAACAATGACAACAACAATCACAACAACAACCACACAACAACCACAACAACAACAACCACAACAACAACAACAGCAACAACAACAACAATCACAACAACAACCACACAACAACTACAACAACAACAACCCCAACAACAACAACAACCACAACAATGACAACAACAACAACACCAACAACAACCACACCCACATTCTCGCGGAGTTGCAGCAGCATGTGTTGCCCGGCATCCTCACAGACCAGGGACTGCAGCAGTCTCAGCGTGTTGATCTCGTGCTCCTGGGGGCTGTCCGGGCCTGGAACAACACGGTGCGTACCACATCAGAGCCGACAGACAGACGAAATACCCTTCAGAAAACACCAATAACTGAAACAACACGGTCATGTTCACTTCAACTCACACGTAATATGCTTGAATTGAATGGAAGTTCTGCAGTTTTTAACACCCTTCCCCCCCCCCCCCTCCCCGCCTATACACCGCCACCATTACCGTTAACAGGAACAACAATAACAACATCAGGCAGTCACCAATACCATTATGTCTATCGCCATCATTGCCACCACTACAGCAACAACAACAACTAAACAACACCAATAACTAGACTGCAGTCTCAGTGTGTTGATCTCACGCTACTGGGGGCTGTCCGGCCTGGAACAACACGGTACGTACAATTCAACATCAGAGCTGACAGACAGACGAAAAACCCTTCAGAAACTACCAATAACTCCACACAGGGATGGGGACTAATCTCCAAACATTTTTCTGAACACTTTGCGACAGCAGCAGGGGGCTCCCCCCTGAAAACGGGAAGAAATTTTTTACGTTTTTAATTTTTAAAACGTTGTCTCTGAGACTGTTTTGAATTTTTTTAAAGAAAAGAGTTACAATAAGGTGCTATTTTACTAGGTAACAAACATGATTGATACAATTACAAAATACAGAAGCCTACATTCATCTAAATACTTACATTACAATGAATGCTTCTACAGGTCAGATCAATGTTTGATGGTCAAGCAGTAATTCTTTTCCCTGCATGTTCATGTTCTCATGTTCAGGTAGGAGAAATGGTTTGGTCGCTTTTAAGCACAAGGGAGGCTATCCCGAAAAATACTTTTTTGAGAAAATCGGAAGTAAAGTTTTTGCCCCTAGTTCAGTTTCTTTAAAAGACAATGAGAGTTTTCTCTATAACCAAACCAAAATATACACATCAATGAAACCAAACTTCTCCAAAGGGTAGACCAATGCCCACTTTTGGCGTAGATCAAGATGTCAGGAAACCCCCGAAATGTGGGGTTAGCCCGCTTGTCCTTACAAGCGACCATGTCTATCCCGTGCCCTGCTGTGTACTGTGTACGTACTCTGTAAGACCGTGGTGAGCGTGTGGATCAGGCGTGGGCGGGAACACAGGTACTTGACTCCCCTCTGGTTGATGCTCAGATTGTACAGGCCCGTCAACATCAGGCTGTGGGGGGGGGG